TGACAAAGACGATTGTCTGCTTTATGTTCGTATAAATAAATGATCTGTGAACCGTCGACCATTGTTCACATTATATAAAAAATCATATTCGAAATGCTCTGTTTTTCTGTTTAACACATTTTGTTTATTCGGGAAGAGTAGCATATTTGGAAAACTATGAAACTATTCAAAATGAATAAAAATTATTAAAATCTACATATGCTGGACAAAAAGGATATCTGAATCATATTACAAAAATAAAATTTATTTCCACTGCAGACAAGTTGAAAATAATGAAAGATTGTGTATTCAATTTAGTAACCTGAATAAAAGGTGTTTGAATTTGCATATTGGAGCTTCTAAAATGTTCGCTACCCTAATGGACGATGAGACCATTCGAGTAATTTTCTTTGGTTTATTGGTATCTTTTGTTCCTAGCAGAGGTACGACCATAAAAGCAATAGAAATATAATCATATTTCAGGTAAAAGCGTGAACAATGATCGCCGATAGAATATGCGAACTAGAAAGGAAAATGAGTTACTTTATGGACTGAACCCACGAAATGTGAGAATAATAGTTATTCTGTATAGCCATTTCAAAGATAAACTCGTCTCCGCTTAAAGAAACCACCTGCTGTAAACTGTTCGAACGTAAATTATGGCTGCCTCATTGAAACATGCATTCGTTTCATGATTCTTTAAGAACCCGAAATGTTCGGAGAATTCAGAAAAATTTCACTAAAAGAGAAAGTGCAATTGTACTTAAATTAGCATGGTTGCATTGCCGAAAAAATGAGGGAGGCAGTTAAACCTTCAGCAGTTTCTGCAGTCACGACATAATGATTTCGAAAGTCGAAAAAATAGTTACAAACGTTTTTTTAATACGTTTCATTTAGTCAGCTTAAATCGAAGCTAGAAATAAAAATTTCACCAAATATTCCAAAATTCATTCTTTCAAACCTAAATCAAATTATTAGTCATTCCAAGTAGCTTCAATATTCGACCACGCTTGAGAGAATTCAATCTGTTGAAATGTTTGAACAACTTGACTGTTTATACAAAACGTGAGAATAATTATAATGTGATAAATTAAAAACTTATGTGTTAATTGCTAAAGTTATTCTAAATTCAACGAAATTTAAAATTTCAAATGAATCTTTCATTTTTGCCGACTCGTTAATGAGAGAACTATCCAAACATCAAACCAACTTAATCTTGACTTTATCTAAGCTGATCCAAATCTTGTCCGAGCGTAACATATTCAAATGAAATGCAACAATTAAGTAGGAATACGCGATCAAGTTTGATTCAAACAGTCCAAAGTAAGCTTGACTCGTATTTGGACACCTCTGACTCCCTGCATTTCCTCGATTTCCTTTGTTCGGTGAACTTCGGAAGTGGGCAAGAACATCTGTGATTCCCAGTCGAAAAATTGCAAGAACTTTCGGTGGTAAACGCGCCTTTGTGCAACGGATTTTAAAAGGAGATTTCACGAGAGGAGGAAGCGAGCGTGTAATTTTGGTCGGTTGTACATGCATGCACCAACATCCTGTTGGTCACGACGCATCGAAAAAGAGCAGGATGGCAGCGTCACAATGAAAAAAGACATCGCGCGTTCAGGTCACCACCGGTAGCTTCAATGCGAACGAGGAACGTGCACGCTCGTACATACGTATGTATGAAAGCGCAGACAAAACACACAAAGCTGGCAGCGAGTGGTATCTCTCAACTGATAATTATGGAAGGGGCTCGAGCAAACTTCCGCTCAACAAAACCTACCCAATGAACGTTTGCTTAAACGAATACACCTGCTGCACTGACTCCGTACACAAAATCACTCGTCGTTTTTCTTCCTAAAGCAGAATACAACAGTGGGTTTCCATATTTTTTCTAACAAACCCTCTTCACCCTTTGATCCCTGATGAAATGAAACATCCCATAGAATTTTCAGATACTGTTTCAATTCTTGGACTAAAGTAAAGCAGAGCAAGAACGTTTGAACATTTAGATGCCAGAAAAACTTAGTTTTATCAATGTGCTTCTCGTAATAATTTTTGAATATTTCTTTTATTTCTTTATGAATGATTACGAATGATAGTTGTTCAGAATCATTTTTATTTAACGCTGTTGCGATATACAAGAAAGTTACTATCGAGTAACAATAACAAGGCGAATACTTCATGCTAAGCAACAGGTTAAGCCTACTTCTCGTTGGATTTGTTGTTTTGATTACTGCAAGAATTTTCCAATCTCATTTCCTTATAATATATCAGGTTCTATTATATTGTTTTTTTTACTTAATTTTCTTCGAGAATGTTTTCTATTTATTGTACAGAAGAAGACTTTTAATACTGATTGTATTTTGAAAAGATCATATGAATTGAATTGAACAAGACTGATGATTTCTACTATATTCAAAATTTTCATTTGCTATACTCTTGAACCACAAGACTTCAATATTATACGCTCGACTAATTTTATTAATCACAGAAATCTATGCACGCATTCTTACAGATATGTTTCTTTAATTTTCCAATTAAGTGTAATTTTTTTAATCATAACGAATGATATTACGATCTCAGAATATACAGATCGCTATCTCTCGCGTGTGTAGCTGAACAAAACAGGTAAATATCAAGAACGATAGCAAACTTTATTTACAGATTATAAATTGTACCGTATTTCGTCGTGATAGGAATTTATAAATATGAGAATTGAAAAAAGTGAAGTAAAATCAAAAGTTGTCTGGTTTAAAAAATGTTTAAGTAGTAACTAGTATTATATAGTATTATGACAAAAAGAAGAATAATGAATATTGATCCTATCAGCCCATTTAAAACGAGTTGTTTTATCTACGACCTTCGACATTCAAGGAGTTAATTATCTAAAGGCAGGTGTCGGAGCAAATGTGACAAGTGTTTGTCGTGTACAGACGCGGGAAAGTATTGAGATGAACAAGACAGTAAGAACATTCAGCATTTGTCAAGCAATAAGTTCACTGAAAGAGGAAGTAACAAAAAACTGTATTCACATGTGAGAAAAAATTCGAGCTAAACTAAATATAACAACAAAAATTATCTAAGTCTAATAAAAGAGTAAATTAATAAAATGCATTTCCGAGTCTGGATTTATTTCCTAACAAGATGGTGCATCTACTTGCAATGTAGAACTCTCCAAACAAAAATACAATAGAAAATTGTTCACATAATCTGAAAACAGCTCAACAAAAAATAAATATTGTATGATCGAAATAAAATAAAATGTATCTATCTATACATGAACGTTGCAGTTGTGTTATTAATTCATGAAATTTTGCACTTTTCAGTTTTGTGTGATAAGCGATAAAATGAAAGCGTTTCTAGATTTACTATAACAGTGTCTTATTTAGATGCATAGTCTGTTTTATGGAAACCACTGCACGGTAAGAATGGTGAACAATTTTCAATATGAACGACTGTTTTATCCGCTTGAAAAATCTATGTAAAATTGTTTGGAAACCTCAACGGAGTTACAAAGCGCCTGGCGTTGAAATCACCGAGATCGACGCTCGCGGCGTTGTAACCCTAAAATAATCGAATAAAAAAATCTCGTTGTGGCCGGACACCCTGTATAAAATCAATAGGAATTCTTTCTATAATAATCACCTTTACATCTATTTTAATTAATTTATTAAAGTTTATTGAGATAATTCGATGAAGAATTATATGAATATATTTAATTTTGTATAATATCGGATATCGATTCGTTTGTGAAGTACAAACGAGTAAATATCGAAACTTTCGCAAAATATGAAAGAAACTTTGGTTAAATACAGTATGACTTGGCATTGTTTTAAAAAGATTTAACAAATAATACTAAGAAGATGCCATTAGTAACCAAATTAACATCCTGTATGTTTTTTTTTCATTTTTAAAACCAAATAAAAAGGGTTTTAGTGACTCAAGAAATTTGAGAAACACTGCTTACGATCCGATTGATAATCATGGATACAATTTCTAAGCGAATATCGAAGTCTTTTCGCTTTTATAGAATAGTTTCTTGAGACTTCGATATAAAATTTGGAAAATCCGAAAGACTATAGAAAAACGATTTTTCCATCATTTTTAAGAACGAATGTGTATGAATATTTTCTTCAGCTCAAAATAAGCAAAATCAGCTCTCAATGTTTACTCTATTTACGTCTATGACACGCTGTATCCGAATGGAATTTCAGAGCAGAGACAGTTTTTACCACCATCGACGTGGGTCAACGAAATTTCTAAGATTATGCAAGCCCGATGGGGGGCAACGACGATAATAGCCGTACGTTTCGGAGTTTCTTGGAAAATTCGGACAACGGGTGCAACAGAGAAGTGTCGAAATAACTGAACTGACCCGACTGCCGCTCGGTCGCGAAATGTTCGAGAAGCCAGCAGAAGCGGGATGGTTATTTTCAGTGTTAGTGCGACAAACTTCGACAAAATTCTTATTTAGACAAGAATTTCGAATAACAAATAAAAGATAAACTAGTCGTTAAATGATAGTAAAAATTTAAATTATAATATAAAATATTTCACAGGAAACAAATAAAAATTTAACTATTCGATCGAACCAACCTCCGAGATAAATTGTGGCACATCTTATTGGTTATCTGTTATTCGAATAGAACGTTGCCCGACTCTGTATCGTGATATTATTTTTCGCTTCGGGCCGAGCAACACTGCACGATTTTAAATTGTTTCCCAGAAACAATTGAAACGGGACTATGGTGCGAAACCCATTGTCGGTGTTGGTCTACGAATCAGAAAAACGTGGTCGCAATGCCGTCGAATCGCAGCGCTAATCCCGAGAAGTTTAATGCGCATGCGTCGACCGAGACCAGGGTCCTGCTTATTTAAATCCCGGTTAATCAGTTCCCACTTCTGAACACCGTAAATACATTGTGAAATATCTACGGAATCCCCATTGAACGACGGGCACGTATATTTAATTACGAATCGAAAATCATCCTGTGCAAAATTATTAATCAAACTGGACTTACTTTTCGAAGTTTCTCCAATTCATTAACGTCCGTGGAAGATTGGACCGCCTGTAAAAAAACGAAACATGTACCACTGAATGTATCGACAATTATAATAGGCCACGAACACGCTCCATTTTACTGGGAAAAGAATCAGCCCCAAAAAACATAAATCAGGGAATACACCAAAGATTAATTTTAACAGCGATAAAATACAGAACCTTCTCGAATTCACCAACGTAATCGAAATTACGAATCAATTACTATAACGTAACGATTACGTCGCTAATAACCGTGACCTTAATGCGACGCTAAACCCAGAGAACAAAATAAAAAAAAAAAATGGTTTCACTGAACCGTAATTCCTTAAACGAGAAATGTTTTTTTCTCACGTATTATTTTTTTATTTAAAAGTATCGATGATATCAAATCCCGTAGAAAACAAGATTTAAGAAATTCTATATTTTAATGAAACGCCAATTTTGAAAATGCACTTGAAAAATATATGATAGAATACAAGCAGAAAATTATGTTTCGATACCAGAAAATTTGATACAGAAAAATAACACCATCAAAAGAATGTATCGTATACCTTAACGTTAAATGTATACAGAATCGGTGGAATTTATATTTTGGGGGTATGTTCGCAATTAAGCAGAATGTATTTACCTCGTTCGTTTTCCAAAGTTTCGTGTTGTCCTTAACGGAAACACGATTGTCCGGTGTTGTTGTCACGCTTCCAAAATTAACGAGGGAGAAGAAATTGTTGTTGGCGTTTCCGTTGGTTTCCGTTTCCTCGGCGATGGTGTTGTCGAGAAGCTCGTAATCCAGCGACTTCGCATCACGGCAATTGGTCACGAAAGAACGCGCGAAGCTGCTTTTGAAGAAGTGCTCCAGTGACACTTCGCTGCCAAGAGCGAATTCCACTTTCGGAACATCACCCATGATTCTTCGTCAAAGAATCTGTTCGTGTTCGTTCACAAAAAGAAATCCGTTTCTTCCAAACCCGAGTAAAAGTTAAAAACCTTTTCAGACGTCCGATCCGAAAATGAAATAACCACCGAAAGAATACTGCACGATCTCGTGCATTCCGCGAAAACTTTGAAGAACAACGTCGTTGACCGATAACTGTGATGCGAAACGGTTTTGCGAGCCCTGTTATTCTCGCAATGTTCACTTATTTTCCACGAATGTATCGTCGTGCATGCCGACATCAACGAACAGAAGTTTCTTTGTACGCGAAATTGTGTGTTGTATTCATGGAATTCGTTAAGTTTTCTACGTTAATTCAATTTTACTGTAAGAGAGAACGTTAATGCGACGAGAGGGTTCGTAACAGCGTACACATCGAAACACACAGCACGCCACTGCGTGACAAACTGACAACGAGCCTCGCTCGAGGCCCTGGAGCCTTCACACGGCATAACACTGGAAGCGACCATAGACAATCACGTACTGCGCATGCGCAACTTTATAAAGTACGTAATTTTTCACTGGTGAGTTACTATCCGAGGAATTGATGTTTTCCATGGCGTTAATAATTCTTCCTATGAAAGTGTAATGCTGATAAACATACTTTCTTATTATTAACACGTTTAAACGATTGCTACGCGTAAGAACAGCATAAAATGCACATACATATATGTTACGGCACTCTTTTAATTTTATATGTTTGAAAAACTACCCAAATTTGCTTCAAAATAGTTCGGTACATTATTTGGAATGATACAAAATCAAAATATATAATAAATCATGAGCGCAAAATAATTGTTTCTTTAGTTCCTTGATAGATGGCGTTAAAATTTGCCTACAGTTTGCCATAAGAGTCTACTCTCTATACATATATAGGGTGGGTGGAAAATCGTAGTACAACCGACTAGGGAGTAATTTTACATAAATAGAACGTTTAATAAAAAAAAGAATTACAGTATTTAAAAATAGATAAAATATAAAACAAAATATTCTTCCAAATTTAAAGTTATTAATTAAAGCAGTTCTTTCTTTTCCACGTTCAAATGTCGAGACCAAACAGATTTTTGAATAATTATCGATATGAAAAATAGAAAAAGAAATAGTTTATATAATTATGTTATTGTTAAGATTTCTGTGAAGGTCTTCTGTGAGCCAGGGTTTATGATACGGACACGCTATTTTGTAACTACATCTACTACCAATATTCGTACCTCCATTAAGGTGTTAGAAAGAAATTAAGGTTATAAAAGTCGCTTTATTGTAATGAATGTCGTACCTTATTTATCAACACCTGCATCTGTTTTATTGTTATTCTAGTGAATAATTATTGCCGCGTTATAAACCCCACGGTCCGGTGCTCAAAATCGATCGTACCTGGCGTGCAACCCTCTAGACTTCGTGTACGCGGTAACCGTGAAGGTTTACCCCCACAATAAGGTTTTCGGTGTTTCAATCTTAAGATTTGTACATTTTATTACTGCCTTCTTGTCACGATATTATATTTAAGAAATTTAGATATATCAAGACACTATAATATACATATTAAAGGATTGTTTAGTGACATATAAGAGACTACAAGTTACTCAATCTATTCGACTTACGTTGACACTCATTCCGTTCAAATTATCTATGTTAAACTCATTATACTCCTATTGAGTATCGTGCACCTAACACTATTTTTACTATTTAGATAGTGAGATCTAACTTTCAAACAGACACTATTATTTGTTCACATTTTAAAATAAATACCCATTTTCACTTCACGAGGGCACTTTCCCGGCACAATTTTCAACACGCATGCTCGAGAAATGTAGTCCATCTAGTATCGTTGAACGAAACTAATATTTTTGGTATAACAAACTGATTAAGCCGGTTAATAAAACTGTATGTTAGACATATTTTTACGATTTATAGAAAATGCGTAGAATGCACTATAATTAAGTAATTTTAATAAAGGGTGATATCTGTTAACATTTCTCATATGAAGAATTTGTAAAACATAACATAACCTCAATTTAGAAGTGATAAAATAATTCAAGAGATTTGGGAAAATGCCACGATTACCATTACACCCATCCTCTGGGACAGGTATTAGATCGAGGTTCCAACAATCGATACGATTTGTTCGTTATGGTTGTGCAAACAGACCATTCTATCACATTGTTGTAATGGGCGTAAGTTTTCATTTTTCAGATGCTCGGTAGCTGTAAAGATAACCGTATTATTTATGAAATTTTCAAAAAACTATCCTACCTAAGAATGGCAGTGTTATTTACCTATGCATACAATCGAATTGCTCATTTATTTCTTTTATTTGTCTTAATTATAATATCGTTTTGTAATAGATAAAGAGCATGAGAAATTTGTTGTACTCTAATAACCAGAATCAATATTACTAATATTACTATGGTTATAATAAAACTCCATAAATGGCTTTAGTAAAATAATGCGTGTAAATGAAATATCAAATGATTTTTATTTAGACGAAATTTCTGCAACGTAAACCTCCGACAGAGCAATTAGGCAGTTATGATCCTATGCCAAACAAATATAATGAAAAATTAATTGCTTTGAATTTCGAACGTATACAACATTGGATGGGAAAAGGTGTAGACATATCAAAACCAGTTGCTGAGCTTTTAGGTCTTGCCGGTTTCCTTCCAGTACATCCCAGGACATATATGACCGCATGGAGAAATCGGAGAGATGCTGAAAAAACTGCTACAAATAATGTTTTGCAAGCAAAATCTGCAAGCTAATACTTTCATTCTTTTTCCATTTTATTTCACATTCAGCTTGTAAATAATATGTACGTTTAAATAAAGTTGTTATAAAATAAATTTACTTAATACCACATTAATAAAAAGTAATTGTATATTATAATGGAATAAGAAGTAATAAAATGCATCACTCGAATGTAATGTTAAAATTTCATCTACTTATTTTTAAATTAAATACAGTTTTTATTTATATATATTTCAATAATTTTAATTTCATGCACTCTGTTACTATATATTTGTTAATGATCTCGAATTAGCGGTCGAAATATTCGTACGGAAAAATAAAAAAAATATTCCCCAGGTGAGGCTCGAACTCACAACCCCGGCATTGCTCACAGTTATACTGTCTTATAAGTACCGTGCGCTAACCGATTGCGCCACTGGGGAGTTGTACATTCCTGATTCTTATTTATGTATAAAAGTCTACGTAACAAAAAAAATTTTTTACATAATTAATTACCGTAAAATATATTTTTGTATGTTTTAAAAGGAACTAATATAAAATTAACGTGTGCTTTTTTTTAATTTTATGCTCCTAAACGTAATCTGTGATATTGCAAATGCCTTGTTCTTAGACGTTAAAAATATGTAATTCTAGATAAACAATATTTTTCTCACAATTATGACAAGTGGATACGTATCTCTATATCTACAAATTGCGTAGATATATTAATGAAAACATAAGTAAGTGGGTAGTATAAAATAAATCTGTATTGATTTCTTTTTATGGCAATGAATGTGTTTTTACATACTTCATTTTTAAGCAATTGAATTTAAAAATAATAATACATCGAGTAAATTTGAGTACTTTGTTACTTCTACAATGAACATTATTCTTTATTTTTCATACTGATCAATAGCATGATACATTTTGTTCCAAAAGTCTGTAACTCCTGCTTTCTCAAGGCCTACTTCCTGAAAGTCATTTAATAAGTCCTGGTTTTCGTTAACAAATGCATCTCCTGGAAACAATAGGAAATCAAAATGTAACATATAAAATGGTATCATCGTTAAATTTATTACCTATTTTTGTAGGCTGTATAAGAAAATAGTGTTCAATCTGCCAAGTAGGTTCTACAAATACTAGTGACCATTGTAAGTACAAATAAATTTGTTGCACATTTTTAATTGAATGTATGTTCACTAAAATTCCACCGTTCCCTTTGTTACAGTCTTCAAAACTTGCAAATTTTTTAACATCCGATTCATTTAATATGTTTGTTCGTAATATACCTTCCTGATTATATTGCGAAAGTGCTAAAGAATAAACATTCGATGAGATCTTACATTTACTGCATAAATAAATTTATACAAATTCTAATATACCAGATATAAAAAGTGAGAAATTTTTCATTCTACTGATGTTCTGTACCCACTGCGTGATCTCCAATAAGTAACATTTGTCTACATCCAAGAAATGACATGTTATGTCATGAATTTCAAATTCTTTTCCCCCCTGAAATTAGATAAAGGAATAACATACTTTTATTGTATAGAGCGAATTGTATCTCAGTTTTCATAGATACCTCCAATTTTATGGTCAACTCAAGAAAAAATTTGAGGCTTGTTGTTACTAAATACGTTTGGTACTGATAAATGTTTTCGCCTAACCATTTTTTCTTTATATCTTTAAATGTTATACCAGTAACTTGACGATTAATCTCGCATATAGATTGTTTATGTTGCCCAAACAAATTTTTTTCTATGTTATTAAAGTTATTTTTTGCTGGATTTGATATTCTATAACGAATGTAATAAACTATATGTTTCTACATTGCATATGATTACATAACAATTACTTAGACATAAATAAAAAAAACAAATATAATACAACTTTAAAGTGATGCGCTTGTCATCTACTTGTTGCTTCTTTAATTTTTCATTCAAATCACGTGCTTTCTTAACTAAGTTTGCTTTTAAATTTTGTAATGTAATCAATTCTCGATCTTCCATTATTCTGAAGTAGAGGAGTCTGGAAATTATTGAAAGACTAATATATTCTTCAATTTTTACAATTGGTCCTTTCATTTTTTGTATAACCATAAAGTAAACATGTACGTAATATAATACTCTCATTCGTACATTTAACAATAATTTCAAAGATTTTTAATAGTTAATAGCGATAGATTCTTAATATTTATGAATGCAAAAAGGTTTAAATTCGATTGGGAACTATGTAACTAATGGCCTACATAAATAAGGACGCAAGTGCAAATGCTCGTACGGTAACTTATATGCACACATACATATGCAGTTACGACATCGAGTTAACCTCAAATATTTATTAGTAATATTTGTTATTTATGTCAGTGAACGTATACAAAATCTAAATATAATTCTAACCTTAGAATAGGTAATTTGCATGGTATCGATTTCCTTACTTCTTAAACATCGTCAATGTTATTGAAAAACGTTACATCTTTTACAGCATGTAACCATATTTATTACTTGTGTTTAGGGATTAGTTACATTTAACGAAGAAGGATGTTTTACAATAACTCAGTATTTTAACCAATGAAAAAATTTATATTCCAAATATAACAATTTTAAAACTTATTCAAAGTTTGGTACAATGGATGATGAAACTTTAAACAGGTAAATCTATTATAGTTTGTCATTTTTATTTACGATATCAAGATTGCAAAAACTCTTGCAATAGAATAGTAATTATTTAATTTATCTAGACTATTGAATTTTCAATACGCTTTCGGTGCAATTTGTCTGGCTAATACAAAACAACTAATTTTCTGTTTAGACTCGCAGTTGAAGCTTTATTAGAAGAAGCAAAGCTTGGAGCAAAAAGAGCTGAGATAATGGGTCCCAGTGGATGGATAAAACCAAAAGAATCTATCAATAAAAGATTCCTCCATTCTACATTGCGCAATGTTGTTCTATCAAACAAGTATCAAATTAAACGAAAAGACAAACAGTTGTATAAGCTAAACAGTAATTAAAATTAATTAATATAATAAGACTTAATAGATTGCTTATAAATACATATTAGTGGTATTTTGCTCTTTAATCTATTCGATATTTTATAAGTAATTGAAGTTGTTAACTACTCATACTTTATATTCATCATGAAACAAATCATTTGTTACCTTACTGTATATTTTACTTAAGGCTGAGTTCTAATTTGATCAGATGAAATCTCAACTTTCTTATTATCTACTTTTTTTTAAATTCTGAGATCTTAAAAGTATGTTTTTAAAACGTGCTGATATTAAAAAATTTAAATAAGTCATTGCTTTACTAAAAAAAAGTATAAAAATACAATTTTTAGGTCTTTAAAACTGTTTTCCTCGGATTGACTTTCCTTGACTTAGTATTGACAAGATCTTGGGAAGCAGACAAGCAGTTTCCTTGAAAGTTTACATGCGTGTTCAAAATATAAATTAAAAATTTTGTCACTTTTTATTTTTCTAAATAATTTTATTAATAACTATAGTAATATTCATACAAATAGTGAATGATTTTTTTGTTACCTGTTTATAAGTGATCTCAATGTTATTTTCATCAACATTGGTCACCTATCTCTGTTTCGCGCATTAACACTTAGTGCTTTTATAATGATTTTTAGTTTTGTCTAATTGTTTTTATGCATATTTATAGTATAAAATAGTTCAACTATTAATAAATTTTAATACCAAATTAAAATTTTATGTGATAATTTGTTTCCAAATCATATAAACGTGAAAATAACTTACTTTTTCATCCTACAAATTAGAACTCTGTTCTGATAAGAAAACTTGTAGAGCAATTAATAATTGATATTTTTTTAATTTATAAATATAGATTCGCAGAAAATAAAAACTATGGTTAATGTAAAATTTGGAAAATTTGAATAATTAAAAATAAAATATATCTCTAATGTTTTATCGTTAAATGTTAAGAATAATAGTAAAACGTATCAATTCTTATATATTATATGAATACCATCTATGAAATTTGATATTAAACATACTTTTACAGTTGGAGTATTATTTCAATTTTACTGTATTTATAAAACGCCCGTAACGTTTATAACGTACATTTATTGTAAGTTTAATTAATATACATTATACACAAAATTTTTGTAAAATTCTTTACAAATACGAGTTAGCAAATAGTTGTCTAGGAAAACTAAAACTGTTTTAATATTAAAAATTATGATATTTGCAAAACAATTATACGTTTTAAAATAAATATAGGACGCTATAAATGTATTTTTTTATGTAAAATGTTATGAAAATAATTACTGAATTAAATTATGAAGCCAAATGGATTTGATAAAAATAGATCAAACAAAATTTAGTTACTATTTTTATCATCGTTGTATTTGAAACCGGAAATCACATGTTAGACTATCTTGTAGCGTCTTCCGTCGAAACGGAAACCATTCTTTTACGTAAATATTCGTGGAACTGTGAGATCTGCAGTCGGTTGCATCGTCGTATAACTATAATTCATATAAGGTATAACTTTAATTTATTCTTAAAATCATGGCAATGAGCATAAGAAAACTTTGCAAACCGAATATAGGCCTGATAAACAATTTATTCAGTAAAACTCAGGTTTTAAGTGGTATGTAACTTTTCTAACCTAAAATTATTAGTTGTAAATTTAATTCTATATAATAGGTAAGTCATAATAGCATGGAAGAAATATTGTATAAGTTTAGTGTAGTTTTATACAACAATAATTAATGACTTAATATGTGTTTGCATTTTCTAAATTTACGCAAACATATAAAAAGTATTCATACGTTTTTGTTGGTAGGGGCCCGGTTTATATATTCGGAAAAATCTTTAGGTGTGACTTCATACGAACACACAAGATTTCTTTTTCGTAATCAATTTATAGCAATAGAAGATACATTTCGCAGTAAAATGGAAGACGTTTCTAATAAAGAGGGTGGAGTGATATTCACTGAAGATATAAAAGCTATGTTACATTTAGCACAAAAGGCTGATTCAGCGGTAGTAAATAAAATGATAGAGAAATATGTTCAATGCGATCAAACGATGAAGTTTGGTACATATACGTTTGGGCCAATAGTAATGCGAATGTATTATTATTTAAACGATCCTCATGCTGCATTAGCTGTATTTAAGAATCCTGTTTTGGAAGAATTTTTTCTTCAGAAAACATCTTATCAAATTTTGATGACTTTGTTATATAATAATAAAATGTACCAGGAAGTAAAAGATGTATATGAGCACATTTTAAATGCTGAAAATCGTCATGGTTTATCAAAGTTTTGTTTGGTTGGAGCGATGGTCGCGTGTTATAAACAGGTACAAATTTTATCTCTAAATGTTTTTCAAACTTTATGTATTTGATATCCTTATTATTTAATATCTAAAAAAACTATTCTATTAAATATGAAAAATTTCAGTAGTCTTATCTTTTTTATTACTTTGAACAAAAACAGAATGAGCCTGGAAAAGTATATCAGATTCAATTTCCTAGTTGATCGTCCTATATTTAGAGCTTAATAAAATGAATAAAAAACAAGCTTGTTTACATGACTATGTGATGCAAAATTTTACAGAAAATTTTAAGGTTTTACTACAGGAAACATGTTTATAATTTTGTTATAATGTACCTATACTTTTTTCTGGAAGTTGCATGCCCTTACCAGTATGCATGACCTTCAGGAATCCATGGACATTAATTTGCGAATTATCGATCTACATACTTTTATCTATGTAAATTATATATATTAATTATTCACACGTAATTATTTTATTAGAATACTCCAGAAGCATTAGAAGATGCTTTGAGATATTGGAAGTCGTTGAAGACATATGGATATTATCCTTCGACTAGAAGTACTACATTATTAGCAGCTTTAGCATTGCATCAAGGTTCAGTTCAGATGGCATTGGAAATATTAGCTACATTAGACAGACAACACTTCATAGATTGCAGATGTCTTAAAGTACTAGCATTTATACGTTTAAAGAAATTTGTACAAATAATTCCTATCATCAGACATGTATTGGAATCAGATTATAGTAATCGTAAACTAACATTCTATGCTGACGTGGTAAGTAAAATTACAGTTTGTTGTTGTAATGCTTAATTAATAGTTTTGTTTGACGTACGAGTATATAGTTAGGGGTGCGCGAGAACCCGAAATATCGGGTCGGGTCGGGAACACGAAATTTTTTCGGGATTGGGACCGGTACCCGAAAGTTTCGAGATTCTCGAATTTTCGGGATTTCCGAGAATTCCGAGAACCCGATGAACAGCGTACACAATGCCCAAGTACTAAGCATGCAGTCACACGTTCGTTTGCATCAGGTCACATTCTTAGAATCCGTGTTTCCAATAACTTCACGAAAACTGGCCGTTTGGTGTTTGGTCCGGGATACCATGCGAGGATGCGGTCACCAGCCTTCTCAGGTTGATGAACTCATCCCCGCATCCCATCCCAGCGGCTGCCCCTATCCCGCCACCTGAGGACGCGCCACGTACGGGTTCACCTCCCCTGCCGCCTGGACAACTAAACGGGTATGTGGCAGCTCGACCCGACCCGACCCGACCCGACCCGACCCGACCCGACCCGACCCGACCCGACTCGACTCGACCTCATCCCGATTCGTCCCGACCGTTGGGTTCTCGCACACCCGTATATATGTATAGTTTTGTAGTATATTATAAAAGGATGGTCACTGACAAGGAACATTTCTAATGTCATTCCATGATTTTAATGAAGTTTTACACTTCATAGTGCAGCCGAAAGTAGGAAATGTGTATTATTTTCTTTCTTTTTCATATGCTAGATCTATGCACTTGAAGAGAGCTTAAAGGAGGAGAATTCGAAAGAATCGTTAGAATTACAGCAGTTAATTATACAACTTAAACAAGAGGAACGTCTTACATCTCACGTAAGTTATTTAAACAAAATTTTTAATCGATAACTAAACATCATTCAATGTATAATTCTTTTCTTTTTTTTTGTAGATTACTTTAGACGAAAGCTTGCTTAAACCTATACACTTTCAAACGAGGAGTGATCGAGAGAAACTAAAAGACAATTCAAATATGCAAGATTCGAATAATAGAATATCGGGAAGGAGTCAGATATAATCATTTTTTTTTGTACAACAGTATTAGCTGTTAATAAATATTATTAAGAAACATATGAATTTCATCGGTTCTGCAATTCATTCAAATTATTGTGAAATAAGTAGTACTGCATACGATATATTAATTATTGTGTAATATTGCAATTGTATATTTAATCTTAATTATAAAGTAATACTATTTACATAAGTCTGTATCATTTTTTTTTTTTATATATAAATACGTGTTCTAAATTTTTGTTGAGTTGTACAATTGCGTTAGACAGGTATACTTTACCTATAACACTTCTGAATGCATTGTGTCGCGTCCAATTTGGTATTTGTATGAATAAAAATAAAAATTGCATTTATATTTTACGCGTGCAATGCAGAACAATATATTGCATAATTATGTGCGATACAGCAGTTTCTGTAATAGAAATTCTTAATAAAATTAAATATACACCAAGGATATAGTATTATTTTAGCATTTTTACTAATTGGTAGAATATCGGAGAAGAAATTTATTTTACACGACATTGTTAGGAATCGAGCCCAATCGTCATGTATTTCTCAAATTAGAATTATGGCAGTCCCGGCTGAGAAAACACGATTATCGGCCAGGGTACCTGAGCTTGCCTGGAATTTCATTCCGGTATTGCATGAATGTATAGGGATTCTACAGTAATACAGTAATTCTTTGCTTAAAGATGGAATTTTAAGAGGATTAACCTCTTCGGGACTGTTGTATGTTGTAACGTACGTGGACTTAAAAATTAATTTTTGTACGAAATGGTTGATCGTTTAAAATAATATTTTATAACCATAATTGACCTCTTTATGCAAAAACTTTAATTTATAATCTCAAGTATCTTTACATTTACGCTAAAAATAATTTAACAAACGTAATTGTACATTGTCACTATTTTTTTAAAGTTTCGACAAAAAGATTCAAGACCGATTCTCGACGAGGTCGAGAAGTTGATACATCTCTGTCTCTGTTTATGTTTATTCGGCTCCCGATTGACCGGCAGCCATGGAATTAAAACCTTGCGGTCTGGTAGTTACAAACGTATGTAAACTAAAAACTTTTAGATATCTTAATGTATCGTAAGAGAATTATCGACGGGCCGGTACGGTTTTCCAGATGGAAATTAATTTGAAGGCTACTTTCAATCAAATCAGTGGGTAAATTTAAGTAGAAAAGTTTTTTTTTTCCGAATAAATTACGATTAAAAATAGTTGGAACGAGATCGCGATTAAGGTTATTTTTGTCAATCGATGAATTATCGCTCTCGCAAAGATACAATGAAAGATATGGAAAACTTGAATTTGCATTAATGTTGACGCACTAATATTAATGATAGGCATTCGGTATTGGTTTTGCAAGTTACGGCCACTCGCTGGTCGTTGATTTATTTCTATAATTTTTGGTGTTGTATCCTGTTCACTGTCCTGGAGGAGCCTCGAGCGGTCCGTCGGAGAAGTTCGCCGGCGAGCCCTCGGTCGAAGGAAACGATTCGATTCGACGAGGTCTCGATTTTCGATCTCGCTGGCGAGGAATTATGTATTTGTAAGCAAAAGGTAAATCGAGTGGTATGTGGGACACGGTAGGAGTGTCGGGGCGGCCCGCGACTGGTGGCAACCGTACGAAACGAAGGAAGAAAAGGACGAAAGCACGGTAGCTGGTCTAGGCGGGGAAGTTTCGGGGTAGCGGAATGACGTCATGTTGCTAAAGCGACGCGGCAACGCTGAGCGTCTGCGTGGGTCGGCGGGTGTCTGGGCAAGGATCAATAGCGTGCCAGCAACCAGGTAGTAGGTGTGAGTGAATGTAGGTTTCTGAACGGTGGCAGTCCAGGAGACGAATCTTCCGAGGCAGGACATATCACGAGTCGAGTACAGCTCCAGTGTCGTACCGGAGAGCGCTATGCCACTATCATCGCATCACGGAATCCTCATTGCCTAGGATTATCAGCTTCTCCAGGTAACGATACCAAACTGTTTACCCGTTCGCTGGTCCGTTCAGCCTCCGATTAATACCGAGGCAAGACCCCCCCCGTGATTTTGAAAGCCATTACGCGCATCGATGATTCCGATGGCCACCACCCCACGTACGTGCACTCGAAACGCAGAATTGATTCGCGGAACGGGATCGGTATTGACGGGGCAATCGCGGGGCCGTTGGACGGTGTTAATCGAGTCTCGCTATCGGACGCGGCGTGAAATGTTCGAATTTTGATGGCCGGACTCGTCGCGGCTAACGAGACGGCACGACCAGGAGGGAATCGATAGCAAAAATCGGCAGAGTTCCGTCGTTCGGCCGTGTAACAAAGTCGGCGTACAGGTCGACAAATGGAACGGCAAGGATAACGGGGATGCGGGCAGAGATGACAGACCCGTACGAAATGAGATGGAGCCCGTGGTGGGGATCGTGTGTAACGAGAGATATGGATCCCTCGTCTTCCGCATGAAAGTTGGTTACCCAGTTGTTGCGATATATCCGTTTCATTTAACCGTCGCGAGTTAATCCGTTGACGCAACTCGAAAGGATACACCCCAATCTATCGATATCAAAGAACAACTATTGCTCGAGATTCTCGCGAAAATTACCAAACGGCAGGATCTCGAACGAGCCTCGGCTCACGGAACACAACGCGATTTATAGTTTCGATGTTGTCACATCCTCTTGGGGCATCATGGGAACCGAAAGATGCCGTTTATAGATGTATGCGTGATTCTTGACAAGTTTGACTAAATTTATTAACTTTAACGAGACAACTTAATTAACGGTCCCGCCTTTATACGTCAATTTATTTATAAGCAATTTCTCGTACTTTCGTTGTTATCAAAAACATCTCGAGTAGAGGGCTGTTCATAAAAATGTTACAATTGCACACTTTTCGTACCCACTTTTGTACCTGCAACAGTTCTTTAAAAAATGACGTGTAACGGAGATAGCGTAACGCTCTGTGCATTGGATGACCTACAAATTGCATTAACAGGGGTGATTCTTGGCGTAAAAGCATATTGAAAATGTGTACTAACATTTTTATTTTGAAAATGTTCGGGGTGTATGTACTCGTTTGTAAACATTGTTCGTGGTATTGTATATTTCTTGTCGATTTTACTATTCTCCAAGCGGTTAATGCCACCATCGATATTTACAGAGATCAGTGCAAGTAGAAATGATCGGTAATGATCAGACGCGTTTACACACGTGCCCCGGGTAATATTCAAACATGATTTTCACGGAAATAATGCCACGCAGGGAGAAGCTTTATTTTATATTTTTTTGTGTATTTCTTCGCGTAGAATCGGTCTCTGTTCGCTGGTATTACATATCGCGTGACGCGTTGCATATATCGGCGTGTAAATCCAGCAGTATTTCGCTTGATTAAAATTAACGCCAGACAGCGATGGGTAGGCGCTAACGGGAAAGCAATTACTTAAAAACACGTTTGTACATCGAGGAATTGTTTGATAAAGAAATTTGTTCGCTCTTTGCTCGAGTACTCTCGAGGAGTAGAAATACAAACACGTTTCGCATGTATATACCAACACTGACCTAATTCGCGCGACTATCCGGACGCGGCAATCATTCGCCGTTTCGCGCCCTGTCGACGCTGTTAGCAGTCTCGCACGATCCGTGTAATTAAGTAAAACCGTTTTCCTCGTAAGTGAAATAAACCAACGCGAAATACTGCGTCGTTTGATCCAATATTCGAATGCATCTTCCTCCTACGTCCTTTTTATTTAAATTCTAATAATCTCTTCTCGACGTAGGTGACTCGAATAATAATATTATTACAGATGCACAAATTAAGAAAAAAATACCTGGTGTACATTTTTTTTTTAAAAGCATACATTATTACAAAATAAATTATGAAACTTATTTAGACAGATTTCTCTGCCATTGATTAATTCATTTTAGAAGAATTAACGTAAATTATATTTGTACTAATAATAATTTGAAAGATAAATTTTAATAAACAAATGTTGTAATGGAATTAAATTTGATTTCAAGAATGTAGACAATGATGGGGAAATAAATTGTTCAACCGATTGTTTAAAAATATTTCACACATATTTAGTGACTATTGAAGGATATTTAAAAATTTTTCCTCGTTAATACACATAAATAGCTTTGAAGAGTTGTTAAATTAGCGAGTCTAAAGATTAACTAGAGGAAAACTATTTTAAAACAAATTCAAAGTAAACAAATTTCGTTCTTTTTTAAAATTAATAACAAAATTAATCGTATTTTGAACGCTTTGAATTAAAATTCTGCCAAAATGTTTTTAGGATCAAGTTATAGGAAAATGCGACCAAAAAATCAATTTTTCGCGTGAAACGTGAAGTTCCTTTTAATGATACACACTCCTCGTTAAATTAGAATCTTGATAGATGTTTCAATTAAGAATACTTGTGGACTTGTTCGTTTGAATAAAAAAGTCACTTCACGCACTTAAATATGCACGTACGTGTTCCTCTCCATCGAGAACGCGCCATAGCTATCGAAGCCAAGCGATTTCGTTTGAATAATTACAAAGTCAATTTCCACTGTTTGTACACCGAGGAATCGAACGAATCTCTCATTTCGTTAGGAATATATTTCGACATTGTGTCCCAATTGATAACAATTCGCGCGCGTAAGTAACGATTCCGTCACTGATAAGTATCCGGCGCTTTAACTCGACGAAAATTAACATCGACAAATAAAAGGGCTGAATGTTACACGCGAACCGCGCTCGCACGCTAATTATAACATAGGTAAGTAGAATAGGTCAACATATTTTCAGGCATATCTGAAATCTGGAAATTCTGATAATAACAGTTTTTGTTTGTCCGTTCCCTTTGAAAAGTTCACTTTCTAGCTGAATTTATTTGGCGTATAATTATACGGAAAGGTAATACTCTATATTCGTACGGCGCACAAAGAAAACTTAATTCCAGTTTAAAACTTAATTATGTGTGCATTTACATGCTAATTAAAACGATTTACTAAATTTTTTCTTTATACAGAGAAATACATATGGCCCCATTTAATTTTAATTACTCTTTGAAATTAAGATTATATATCAAAAGCGTATCATATTTGTACCGTTTCTTTTGTGCTCTACAAAACAATAGCAAACATTTCGTAAAATTAAATCTTGTAATCCTCTCTGGAACTTGTAATTTTTTTTCGAAAGTGAAATAAATAAGCTTAGAAGGAAGATAGTGCTATGAAAGTCCAGGAGAAAAACAACAATAACAGTTGTCATGTGTATTATTCATTTTAACAAACAATTCACACTTTTTAAAAGTTTATAATATATACATATAATAATTTATTAATTTAAATTAAAAGAAATTATGGATGGAAAGTAAGTTAACAAAATCATAATCTTTAATCTTTTATAAACAGCTACTGTCGAACCTGCTGTTATATTATTCTTTAAATTTTGTAATAATAGGAGTATTTTGTCAATTAACCCTCGAAAGGGAGAAGGATCCTTTAACGAAAGATTAAAATTTAATTATGATTAATTATTCTATATCCCCAATTATAGAATAATTAAAAAGAACAATATAACATTAGATTTAACGGTAGTTGTTTAAAAAAAGGAAATGTTATAATTTTAAATTAAAAAGTGAAATCACTTTTCCAAAGGCTCGCTGTTTAAACGCGACATTATTTACTATATTTCGCGGCTGCTAATGAGCAGAAAATTAAAGTTTGCGCGTTATAAATATTCGTATATGCATGCGTACGTGTTGGCTTTATTTCAAATAGACAAAACTTCGCCGTTTCTATTTTCCACCGACTCGTTCGATTCTAATTCCACAGTGGCGGAACGAAGGTTGGTGCGTGTTTATAAAAGCTGCTGTCACAGAAGTGTTTGTAACTCTCGCGTAGAATTTTCGTAGGAAAAGGTGATGATTTTTCATATAAAAATGAATAGAAAATGCAGAATAAAATTTTGTTCAAGAAAGAAACGAGTTTAAAACATTTGTGAACACGTGTGTGCGATTTGACCGATGCATCCGTGTATTACTCGTCATCCCTATTTATATTAGTGTTTGTAAACATTGACCTTATTACGATATCATCTACTTTCCGTCGATCTGACCATCTTCTAGTTCGTCAGAACTAGTTAGATCAGATAACGCTGTACCATCGTATTTGCAAATGCCAAACACAAGTAGAATTAATGACAAACATAACACGTTCCTTCTAAATCGCACGCGTGTTCCAAAAATGTTCAGAATCGACTTTCTCGAACACGAAGTCACGTGTGAATGAGTTTCATTGTACATTTTAAATTAATCTTCACGTGGGTTTTTATTACCGCTTTGGTACACTATGAATATCAGACATTTTGTATCGATGGTAATCAGCGTGACATTGATTCTCACCGTACAGTGTACTAGAAAAATTATTACCACACGTGATGACACGTTGGTACTGAGCAAACTTGTTAAAAAGAAGCGGACGGGTTACTTGTCAGCCGCTGTATTATTAGCGTTTCCGCTGAACACGCTGTATATGATCAATCGCGAGCCAGAAATAAAAGGTGGGTAAGGAAGGTGGTACGTTTGTACAATCGCACACCTCTACAATTGTAAATACGACCATTTCCCATGGAAAAGTAAATAAAATGTGTGCAATACACTTTTTCTACACGGAGTTCTATTTTCGAGAAAAATTAAAGACTCGCGTATGATTACGACAATATGACACGTCTGTCCATTGCTCGTTATTTCTACTGGTGTTCGTGTTCGACGATATTAATGGTGTTACGATATTATGTATTCTCTGACGACGTTACCATCTGCTAACTAGTTACTAGCCAAATCAGATAATACTGTACCCTCATGTTTACAAATACACACTAGTAGAAAAGGCGATTAATGGTCAGACACGCTTGCCAAGACGTGGACGTCGTAAAATTGATATAAATTGGTACAAAATTAGTAAATAATCGTGTGTGATGTATTAATTATTATATATTTATATTAAAGGAATTATTTACTGTCTTTTTCATTTATATGTAATTCACTCTCGGCTTTGCTCAATGAATTAAGTTTAAATGGATGTAGTATTTTTACTGTATAAAGGTAGCATAATCAATAGTCTTTTGATTGAAGTTTTGTATGGAAGTATCAGTGAAATATAAACTATTTATTTTATGAAATTTATGTTAATATTCGTAAATTTTATTAGAGATAATTCAGCCACTTTTCACTTTTCACTCATTGTAAAGATTTGCTGAAAAAGTGAATTTATTATTAATCGAATGTTTGTTTCTGCATTACAGGCTACCACGATGTGGCCTGGAGTATTGAAGTTGCTGCTGTTACTAACAGTCCTGCTACATCAATTAAGGTGCACATTCTTTTTCACATATATTTTAGTACATTTTAAGTCTAATTCCTAAGTAAAAGAAACTGATAGTAATATTCCTAAATACTTAGTAATGGGACTGATATATGTTAATACCTAACAAAAATAATTTTGCATTTAGAAAAGTAATTACTTAATTGTAGTTTCATTTCTGTTACACTTCATTTCTAATTTTACAGTCCTTTAGAAAAATAGTTTATCCCACTGTTCGATACTAGTTTTAATCGAGACAAAAATTAAAAATTACATAAATATAATACGGGATAAATAAATACAAATAATTCGAATGATTGTCTAAATCAAGAATGTGTTTGAAGTTGCTCGAATAATCTGCAGATTTAATAATGGACTAGCTACATTGTGATTTTATTGAGGTCTCAATGGTACTTGATGTTTGAGTTGTATCGCCATTATAGGAAATAGCAACAAGTGCAGCTCACTAATACGATAACACATTTCGATATCTATTCAATGCTTTAATACAATACAGTAGTCTTCGTACAACAAAAACGAAATCGGATCTTCGCAGTTTCAGTTATTCGGGTAAAGTCGATTCTTCGTTTAGAAATTATATTTTTTTCTTGAGCTGTGACAATATTTTATTCAAATAACAAATTACAATAATTAACAAATTATAATAATTATCCCACTATTATTCTTACCTTTACTTTATTCATTTAAATTATAACGATATAAATTTTTTTGAACTATTTTCATTAAATTAATTTAATTCAAATAATATTTTTTACTGACTACTAAATTTTATTCATTAAATATTATTTTTGTTAGATGAATATACAGGGTGTTCGACAATACCTGGAAAAATTTTAATAGGAGCTTTTAGGGGCAAAAATAAGACGAAAATCAGGAATATCAATTTGTTGATTGAGGGTTCGTTAAAAAGTTATTAACAAAATTAAATTAAAAAATTTCAAATCATTCACAAAAAAATTATTCTCGGTTGCGAGGGTCAATTACAATTATTTTTGGTGAATAGACATACCCTTGAAATCCTATGTACTTTCGAGAAAAAAATTATTTACCGAAAATATACTGTGTGGGCGGAAATGTTTCTGTAACTTTTTAACGAAGCCTCGATCAATAAATTACTATGCTTGATTTTTGTCTTATTTTGGCCTCTGGAATCACCCTGTATAATAACTTTTTTAATAAATTCGTTTATACGCTTTCATTGAAGAAGTTAGTTTACCAATATGTCGAAGATTACAATTTTGTACAGTGCCGTGTACTTTTGATTGTAGATGTACGCAGTCAAAGGTAGGGGACAGCTTCCGGTTGAAGGAGAAGGAAGTGTTAGACGACATCCTAGGACCAGGACGGTACGACGCACGTATCCGGCCCAGCGGAGAAAATGAAACAGGTGAATATACCGATATTAACTATTTTACGTCCATTCTTCCTTCTTCCAGACATCCTTACCAAATCGACCAATTGAACCAACATATTGTGAATAGTCGGTTACGATAAATGAAACAACGAAGCCTGAATAAGCTTGACACACCGTATAAAGATAATCCACTAGTTAGCCATGCTGCTGATTAAAGCTGCATTTTGCGTTTAGATTTAAGGAAAATTGTAACGATAACTGTACGCTCTGATATTTTAATATATGCTGATATTCTGATTCAATGGTTTATTTATCGGTCGGTGCGATTAATGTGCATTTTAATCGTGATTAAATATTCCATAGCACGTTGCAATCTTATTACGATTCGTCGACTCTAAAGTGAACATCAATATTAAAGATAGCCTTTTATGTTTCGAACTCTTTGCTCCGTTTTAAGATTGAAATTATTTATTACGTTGCCATTCGTCGCGACGAACGAGCTTAACTAATAACATTCTTTTCAGATAAATCTAGTTAAGAAATAGGTAGTAAGCGTCCGTATACCAGAAATTACGAAATGGTAATGCTTTTTACGGATACGATTAGCGTTCGTTTGGGTCGTTCACCAAATTAATTGTCCTGAACACGAATTGTGATATCTACCATCGGATAATCCTGGCAATCTACGACCTGATCTTCATTTCGTTAATTAAGAATGATTTCGATTTCGTTTTTTTTCCTTTTTTTTATATCTGCATACATAGGGTGATTCTAGAAACTTGGACGAGCCGTAGCTTTTTGTTTTGTATAAAAGATTCGTAGAAGAAAATGTCTAATATCCTATGCAAAGGAATTTGATGATATAATTTTTTACTTTGATGCAACAGTGGAAGCAGAAAATACCATGTTCCTTTAAATCGGACTATGTATTTTTTCCACTTGTATAGATCGATTCTTTTCAACGTTTCGTATATTAAAGCGTTAAATCATGACCATTGGAAATTTTATACTTTACAAAATACTTTATATTTCATGTTTGTATTCGACAGCTCAATCTTCATGTTGAAATTGCTTTCACTAAACTAGGTCAGCCAGTGCTGATGACCATGGTTACCGGTGTCAGGTAAACACATTTCATTCGGTTTCTGATAGATTCGTGTCTTGAGTGTACTTGCTTTCAAAAGTTTTTGATTGCTTATTAACTGAGTTTGATTGAATCAGTTTGAAGCATACAAGTCAGTTTTGCGAAGTGCAATAAAAATGGCCAAAATACTGCATCGATATATATACGATACTGTACAGACTTTTACATCTGACTCAGTCAATTCTTACTTTTGGGGATTATTTCGAAAGACAAGGCACAGTTTTCTATTTCAATCAACAATACTAAAGTTCAAATTAAAACTAATTGTGTTACACAACTTGAAAATGTAATACCTCAACGTAAAATATGAAATATCTCGTAAAGTATTGTGTTTTCGATGTTTACGATTTAATAATTTCCAAGTAGAACGATGAAAAGAATCGATTTATGTAAAAGAATATATAGTTCTGCTTGAAAGCGCAAGAGCGTATTGCGTTTGCACCGTTCCATCGAAAAAACAAATTAAATCGTCAAGAAAATGTGTCTGCACGGGGTACCTAACTTTTTCTTCTAAGAATTTGTTGTATTTTTCAAGACTTTACAGTTTCTCCGGTTTCTGGAATCACCCCGTATAATTGTATCGCACTATGAAGGATCTAGCGAATCGAATTCGGAGATTGACGTCGCCGGGATTCCGTATACTTACGATTGTTTCTTCCACGCAAAGTCCGTTGATTTGCAAAATTCTTAACTAGTAATTAAAGCTAAACGAGAGCGGAGAAACGACGCACGCGCATCGAGGGCACACGTGTTTTTGGGGGTCACGTTTCACAATGACGAATAATTTTAACACATCACGTAAAGTGGCTCGATAGACGTGCGTTGCAGGGAAGAAAGTGTTCGTGGGTAGCAGTTTGCTGGCAAAGTGCCGTTAAATTGCAGTCACGTTGAATTTACAGCGAATATAAAGCAAAACGCGTTTTCAAGCAGCACGTTGTTCGATGAAGCGTCATGATAACGATGATCAACTACCGGCTGGCACGTTGCGCTGTCATTTCGCGGCAGCGAACGGTTGGCAAAGCGACGGCACGAATTTGTTCCTGAAACGAACAGATATACACGTACCATCCACATATACGTACACGGATACTGGCTCTTACATAAACATACAAGCGCGTTACGTCTGTGTGTGGACACATTCGGAAAACTTCTACGATAGATGGTAAGATGTAATTGTTCGGGCATCGTTAATTGGTATACAAGTGCCTTTCCATTTCTCGTAAATGAGATCTTTTTGGAAGATCGTAACACGCCTTATCGAATACAGGATGAGTGAATACTGGTTTTATAGCCAAGCATAGAGGGTGATTTCTTGTAAACAAATAAATACAAAATGTGGAATAAAACATTTTCATGCGAGGCTTCGTCTTCGAGAAGATCGTATTTAAACATTCTTGAAGCTACATGTTAATCATCGTTCCTACTTGTATAATATTTAGTGTTTGTAAATATGATGAAGTATTATCTGTTTTTGAATGTTCACAAACACCAATGGAAGTAGAACTAACGGGTGCTTCAAGAATGTTCAGACCACATTTCCTCGAAATCGAAGGCTCGTATTAAAAAATTTTATCCCACTTTTTCGACCAATTTTTCGCGCCAGAAATTGCTGCATGTTGGACTGTACAGCGGAAAGTAGTTTGAACCAATTAATCCGCGAATGATTTCTTTTGTTTGTCTTTCACGAGTCCCTTTATAAGGCGTCTCCGTGACACGATGTCCACGAAAATAGAAATAATTGTGAATATTTTTGTTTCGAAAATACGGTTCAGTCTACGAGATCGATGCAAGGGACTTGTTAATTAATACGATGAAAAATTGTTACCGAGGGCGTTGTTAAAATGGGGTGGATAGGTGTAAGGGAGGATGCTATCTTGCTGAGAAGAGGGTGATAATATAATTTCGATTGGAAGCAAAGGTGTTTCTTTATTTGTACAAACATACACGTGCAATTGTGCAATTCTCTGCATTAAATAATCGTACACGAAATTTCATACACACTGGTGTAGTTAAATTTTTTATCGAAATATCAAACGTTGAAGTATTTCTTAGAGGACGCTTTTTTCATTTCAAAATTAAAACTTTCGAGCTTTGTTATGAATCTTTGTCCAATAAGTTTAGCATCGACGTACCGGGCCATAAAATATTAATAAATTTATGTATTGTTTTGCCTCTTTTGGAGCAAAATTTCTTGAAAGTCTGATTGATTCTTTCGATGCAGGTATCGATGTAATTTTATTACGTTATATTAGTATTAGTAGAGTTTGCATTTCTAAAACGGAAATCACAATTTGATCGATCACCATGATTCGAAAGAAATTGTCTGGGAACGCGTCTGACTCATGCAAGACTTATACTACTTGTACTTGACGCATATATCGCTGACGATTTCTGCTATATTTTACATATCTCAATTAGTTTAATAATTCAATTTCAATCAATATTATCTATAATATTAGATACGGTTGTCATTATTATTATAAATATATCACAGTGACAATAAAAATTTCTGTTAATGATCGAAAATTTTTAACATCACCGACAACGATATTACGTTGCTTTTCGATAGTATTTTAATGTTACTCTATGCTTGTTCATCGGTTCCTGCGTCGAAATCTATTCGCTATCAAAATACAGAAAGAACGACTTGCCTAAATATTAATTCCATTTTACCGTTTTGGTACTGATTCGCCGAGAACGATCGTTATGAATTAATTTCGGCTAGTTTCGACTATGTACACCGAGTATACTTCCCATCTCACACACCTGCCTGATACTCTCACCGTACGATGAAAATTGTACAATGGCATTGAACATCTCGGAAAATTGGACCACGAATTCCTATTGTTCGACAGGTCAGAGAAAGTATGTATCGTCGATAATTACAGTCGACTTCGTACCGCCTGGAGCTTGACGTCGGAGTCGTTGCACGAAATTTTTAACATTTTCAGACATACCCGTTGCTATGTTGTTCTTTCTCTTAATTATCGGAGAACAAGCTCGTATATTTCGCCCGGGTCATACTAATTTCCAACAACTTCAAAGACATGATTTTTAATCAAAAAAGTGGAAGCAGTAGTTATTTCGTGTGCAATAGAAGACCCGCTTCAATTTTAAATCACACCCAAGACGATCGATATTAAGTTATATAGGGTTGGACGCAAATAGTGATAGAACCCACTTAAACTCTCTCATTGGCGATGATCCCTTAAACTATTAAATCGAAGTGAAATTTGTTTATACGAGCGTGAAATTTATTGCAATGGAAAGGCATTAAGCAATCAAACGATTCACTTTAAACCTATTTAGTTTTCTTCTAATTTAGAGATTTCTTTTTCTCCTTCTATTTATATGAATTTTTTTTATCAAAAATAAATTCCTCAATGGTATATATTCGTTAGTTATATTAAGTGTTCTATGAGTATTAGAATGTTTATTCTAATCTAATCTGAATTAATATTTTCTGCTTTAGTTATTGTATTCATTTTTGTATAATCAGTGACGATAGCTAATGCAAACGAGACTCGTTTGTCCAATATCCACCATTTCTACTTGCGTTTGTATTTGCAAATATGGCATAATACTTTCTATTTCGATTGCTTTTAAGTAGTTACAAGAGGAAAACACGCAGCAAGGAATCACCATCAGTGTCGATAAATACAAGTAGAAATAACAAGTATTGGTCAGACATGCTCGCGAAGAATTTCCAAAGTTAATCTTGTCGTGAACAAAAGCTCTTATCAACAAATTACATTTTACATTTTAGATTTATTTTTCATGAAAATAAATTTTTTTTATACGAACGTTCTTGCAAAAATCGAATTCGAACATTTTTGAAGCGAACGCGAGATTTGGCAAATGTGTTAGATCATAACCCGTCAGTTCGACTTGCGTTGGTGTTTATAAATAATTTGCAAACATCAACGCGAGTAAAAATAACGAGTAACAATCGGGCATATTTATCGAGTCGAGCGTGTGCCCAAGGATCTTCAAACTTAATTTTACCAAAAACGAAACCCAGTACAAAAACTGTATATAACACACTTTTTATTCGTTTCGAACCACTCACTCTGTATGTGTATGTTTATACAGTTGCAGGAAGAAAAGAATAATTGCATTGTCCAACTCCACCGATATTAGCTACTATATATTTCGCAGATATGTGTTTCTTAATGTGAGAACCTAATTTTACACTCGATCTATATGTCACGTATGATCTCGGTTAAAACAATCCGCCACAGCACTTTGCCTTTAGCCTCCGAATATACTTTTAGACGTTCTATTTCTGTGGTAGACCTACACCATGTATTTTTCCGCTATCCGATATATATATATATGTTATCACTGTGTGTTATCAAATGCCCAAAAAGTACCTTTCGTAATCAATTGACCATTTGCCAGCGATTGACGGTTCAGGTCGATCCTCCAAGCCGGGAGAACGAATCCGTCGATGTCCTTTGATGAAAACGATTAGAAGCCACGAGACGTAATCGCTTCGAATTTTTGGTAACGAATTAATCTAATGTTTTTTTTCTCTCCAATCTCTGTTTGTTCTCGAACGATTACCCGAACAATCCTGACACGGCTGCTCGATCGAACCGTAAGAAATAAAAACCAAAAATAACAAACGTACATACACGTACACGTACACACACGTACATACATACATACACAAAATGAAAAACTCAAGAAAATTCTATAAAATGAAAGAAACAAATCAAGTAGAGTATTGTGATACACGACAAAGATTGACTGACTAAAAGGGGGCTCTATTGTTTTTGCCCTTAGATGGGCCGGCCATTGTCCGGGTAAACCTGTTTGTGCGAAGCATTGCGACAATTAGTGACATCAAGATGGTAAGTATACATAAACCAGTCCAAGAATCTTTAACGCGGTGCAATGTCATTTCTCTCTTGGCGGGTACTTTTTCCTTATTTTTCTGTTGCTTGCAAGATAACGTAGGCGCAAGTAGGTTTAGAGCCTCGGTAACGAACCAAAAAAAAAAAACAGAAACAAAATGACGGCCTCAGCACCAACGAGAACGGCAACAACAGCAATGGCAGCAGGCTAGCATCGTGTCCCTTCTCCGTTACATTTATTATTATAATCAACACCATCCGTTTCGTCGTTAGTACCAGACTCAGTTGGAAAGTTTTGCACACATCGGCCTGGCAGAATATCGTGCACACGTTTACCATTTGTTCCATGATGCAGCAGCTCCCGCTTACACGCGACAAAATCAGGCACGCCTGATTCCTAGCAATTTTTATCCAACTTTGAGCCATCGTGAAGAATCGTTGCTTGAAAGCGGGAATTACTATGAATGAAAACAAGAATCCACTGTACGAGATTCGTGCCAGCGCCTACCTTAGATCAGACTCATGCGAATCCGACTTTCGACACAATTAATCGCAAGTAGTCTATTCGATGCTCCGATGCATGTTGCAATGGATTCCGTTTTGACTTGCTTTAATTACGTTAGAAAGAACGATCTTCCAGCACGAGTCTAGCTACGAGTATCCTTTGTGCGAAACGTATCCTTTGATCTGGGAACACTGTGTTGCGCAATATTCACCATAGACCCTGTTGTAGACTCTATCAAAGTCTGTCCGCCCCCATCGATTCGTCTACTTTGTTGAATCCCGTTTCTCACACTACCAGACATCCAGTTATTTTTTTTCATCTATGTATACACGACTCTCCTTAATTTAGACTAAACTCTACACAACAACTAGCATTCTAGCATAGATATAGGCATGTGGCATTATAGTTTCTATGTTCACATATGTACATACACGTTTATATACCGCTACATAGAGGAGCACAGATGTTGCAGAGGGACGAAGAAAAAACAAAGGAAAAAGTGAGACAAAGAAAGGGAGGGATAGGGTACGAAAATGGAAAAAAATTAAATACGAGAAGAGAGAATTATTGGCAGTTGATTTCATAGGTTTCGTCCAATTTTGCTCCCCCCCCCCGATCTGGTAGAGTTCCTCATAGTGCTTGATGATTAGTACGCTCGTTCACGTCGACACGTACAAAAAAGAAAGTATTATCCAGTTTTACTTGTTCCGTACTTTCAATGTGTGAGATGATACGAGTATACAGGAATTTTACAAACGTACCATACATTGTCAAAAGTCACCAGTCCGTGTACAGTATTTTTCATTCTTTTTTTTTTATCTTAATGATGGGGTGGTTAATGCCAAGTTCCGAGCAGCGTATCCGTTGGGCGACGTCGGACGCATTTGCGTGGTTTGTGGCCAAAAGTAGATGTGTCGAGAGGTATTTGAAATTCAACGCAGTTGCAGCGCTTTGAGTTTTTCTGCATGCATTTCACAACAGTTGCATCTTCGAAAGGGTGAGTTACAAGAAGCATACGTCTTCTTCTCGTGCAACTGGAGAGGAGGAAAAAGCGCAAATGCAATCGATACCATCCTCGGAGTCATTCGAGTTGAATGGTTCTCGTTAAAATTTCAGAATTAATTACGAACATAAGTTACTTTACGAACGAGGGCCACGAGAAAGCAATGACAAAGATATAGCTAACACGCGTGGCCGAAAACAGAGCGCTACGTAATACATAAATATTTGCACAGGCGAAACAGTGCCTTTTATTTTTTAAGTTCAACGAATAGCTTTAGAACGAATTATTGACAGAGAATCGTTAAATATTTTTGATCCTCCATGTTGATAACGCGGCGATTAATCAGAGAAGGATTACCATTAACGAATTCTCTCTTATAAACACGTTATGTCGTAAGGGATGCCGTGTTCGACGATGAAAATATCGTGGATCATTAACTTTTTACGTTTACAATGATGAATGTTCTGGAGACAACTTTCCACGAACTTTTCCTGTATTTTAAGCTTACCAGGTTCAGTCCTAATAAGAATTTACTCATCGATCTTTTGCAAACGTAAGAGATTCTTTCGTTTGAATGCATTCGCATTTTTTAAACATTTTTTTTAAATAAACCGAACGTGGAATATCGAAAGCAGAATATATACAGGGTATCCAAGGAATGTGCCAATTTTTCTGGCTCATAGTACTCGCCTAAACAAGTAAAAAGCTCTTAATAAACTACTTAACAAAGCATGGAAGGCTTTTTGATTCATGAAACAGAAAACAAAACTATCTTAAATCTGTGTAATTTTTTCCCCATTTTAGTGCAAATTTCACTTTCTATGCATTCTGAATTGTTTTCTTTTTATCGTAAAACGCCACCCTTGCTGGATAATCAGGATCAGCCTGGGGTCGCAGTCGTTGGGAATGATTCTAGTATGGTTGATGTTCACGAGGAATTGTCCTACCATTGGAAAAACACTGATGTCTGTTGCAATTCTTCTAACATTAATTTCGCGATTCTCATCCACTCGACATGAAACACAGAGGGTCGAAATAGATCATAGATCACTCTAATCCAAAAAAACTTGGTGCATAGACATATATATGAGCTGGTTAATTATACTTGAAAACTGTACATACTGAAGTACAATAGTATTCTTAGTCTGACACTGATAAAAAAATCATGCATGTGATAAAATAATCTCATGTTTCAACAGATAGATAACTTATATTATTGAGGTAGGAAATCGTCATTCATTCTGATTTTTTATACCTACGGATGCTTTATTTGAATAGATGAAATCCAGAGATATACTTCGAGATATATTCGTAGAAAATTTTATTAAAATAACCAATAGATCTCCGTTTAACAACAATTTAGATACAAGGGGAGGAATATTTCTTCCCCCCAGTTTTCGAGATATGTTCGTATATAATTTTATTGAGACTTATAATTATTAGAAGATTTGGACGAAACGTTGTTAATATCCGGATTATTTTAACTCTAAGTTAAGAAGTCGTTTAATAATTTTCCTGGAGTTATTTTAAAATCGAACCTTCTATCTCCATGTTCCCAAATTAAATTTCCTTGGAGATGCTTTCACAGTAAAAAGTGAATGAGAAAGTGAATATGATTTTACTTTAAAAAATGTTTTAAATTCAAACAGCTTGCAAAACTTTAGAAAATTTAATCCATGGTAATTTCAGTTGCGTTGGAAATTTTGTGAATTTTTGTCGTTAGGATTTGGAAAAGTGACACATATTTTATTTTCTTGCTCGTTTCTTAGTGCAAATGAATCTTTGTGGAAAAACTTAAGGATGTGAAAGTAGAAGGTTTAATTTTTATAATAACACCAAGAAGATTATTGGATGATTACTTTTGATGAAGTTGTAATATTCCAAAGATTAACAACATACCGACCAAGTGTCCTAATATCAATGAGTGACAATGTATCATACAGGGTGTTAGAAAAGGTTCAGAGCAAATTTATAATAGATATCACTAAGGTCAAATAGATAAAAAACAGTTTATATAAAATTATGCATAGAAAATGTTTAATTGAAAAAATATAAGCTTTTAAAGACATTTGTGATTTATTATGAAAGTTATAAGAAACGTTTGAAAATTCCTCCCTTTTCAAGAATGGCTTCCATTCGTCGAATTAGTGATCGTTGAATTTTTTAAAAATATTCAAATATTTGTTATAGCTGTCACAATGAGTCATAAATCTTTTTAAAAGCTTATGTCTTCTCAATAAAGTATTTTCAAATATAAGTTTATATCAACTTTTTTCATCTATTTGATCTCGTAGTAACACGTAGCACAAGTTTGGTCCCAATCTTTTTGGACATCCTGTATATTCAATAACGAAAACTCCAACTACTGGATAGGTTAATAATCCCAATAATTATATACTTCATATTTTTCAAAAGATATAGAATCATACCCTGATAAAATATTTCGTTGCTAGCATGGTCCAAAATCGGCCTATTTTTACCACCTTCCTTTCAAATACAGAAATACAGAAATTGGGATAACATAAGAGACATGGATTACGATAACCTGAAAACAGAAATTCCGACAACTTGAAAGACTCGAGTTGCGACAACCTGAGAGACAAAATTTGCAACAACACGAAAGACGATGTTACTTTTAGAACACACGTTCGTCAAGACCTTTTTTTACCCATTTAGATGAGAACTACGAGCCCTAAAAGTTTGCAACGGCCTGTATGCCAATATAGCTTTATTTTCGTTTCGTTTTATCGACGTCGAGCTGCGAGACGATTCGCATTAATTGAATTTCATTCATCGGGGATCGTGGCTGTACGTTCGCCTCGAAACGCGGCACAATGCGAAACGAAGTTTTCCTTATTTTCTGTAGTGGAAAGTAGACGATATCCGTTCGTTGCATACACGAGGATGGTCGACGGGTAACACTGTCGACAGGAGCAACGTGTCCGACGTCTTGTCCTGGTTCATGTAGGGCGGAATGTTACCCAGACACTCTGTATGGCTCAGGACGATACGCCTGGCTCGTTCGGTCTACGATTAATAAGTAATTAAAGTAAATTTTCGTTAAAAAGCAAGGCGCCTTGCGATTTAACTATGGAAACTGCCGACGGTTTCCTAATTATATCCTCGATTCGTTAATACTTGAAAAGATCGAATAAACCTATAAAAAAATTTTTCTAGCAGTCCTGCGGGCAATTAACGTTTAACCACGCATAAATCGTTGTTCTCCGTTAATTACACGCGAAAGTATTTGGACCAGAGGAAAGTTAACGAGCCGATAAAGGAACACATTACACGTATGCTTGTTCAATATATACGAAGGTTTCCCGCGACGAAAGTAAACCGATTATGTTTTACCCATTTATGCTGTGTATCCAGTTCACGTTGAGATCGATCACGGTAATTATGTTGCTGCTTCATTTTTTATTGGCCAGACGTCTTGAGAACCCGTATACGTGCGAAACAATGCTTAAAAGTTCTTAGACATTTAAC